TATAATGTAATGTCAGACGTGCTGCTAATAACCAGATAAGACCTAACATCCAGTTCAGCCTGGATGAGAACATTTTTGCGATGCTAGGGCCAATAAATTTTAATGGCAGACTGAGGCCATTTTGAGGAGTTTTCTTGAACCATAGCCTAACTATGCTTACAAGAATTTTATCTTGCTCTGATGATGTCTGTCATGTTACAGACGAAAACATAGTACATTTTAAACTTATTATAAGGTAATTGCATCGGTAAAAATGTTCGTGTATAGTAAACCAAAGTTTGGTTAAGAGGAATCCAACCTAGTCTCTTGGTGGGATCGACTATTGAATCTCTTCACCACACATTTTCTCCTATAATGGAAGTGGGCTCAGCAGTATCAAAACTTTTTAAACATAAATAACCTTTTCGATAGTAATGGCAATTATACGATTACATTATCAACATAAAAAGTTACTCCCGCCCTATAGCGTAAAGACACCTGTGGATTTATGTCGCCAGCATATGCACACAAGCTTTGTCCGAATCCCTTGGGGGTGATGTTAAGACTCAGACGAGGTCAATCCTGCAATCCAGCCAAGATCAGAAAAACTATTATGCAGCAAGTAAAAGTAAAATACATCGACATCGTGAGGCCTACTTATTTTAACTGTGTGACAATTTATTTATCATTTCTTATCCACCGTATGAGACTCTTAGAGAGAATACAGCCCTTATTTAAGATATATAGGAAGTCTTGAAATATACTCACCATATATATATAAATATGTTGCGTACGTAATGTTGAGCTTAGTGTTTTTACTCTTTGAAAGTGTCTCTCGAAGACTCGGAGAGGGAAGCCGTGCAACCAGACAAGCCTGGCATCAAGTTACATTCGACAAGTCCGTATGAGAAATCTGCTGAGGCTCCAGATCAAGCTTCCCAGGACAGGCAGCTTAGCTCCCGTCAAAAGTCTGTCCATGAGCCTGAGCCCGAACAGCTATTGCTGCCCGAAAAGGTCATCTGCTCCCGAAAGGTGTCACGAATGCCTTCGGATGTCAGTATCGGGGGGCTAAAGGAGACACGTACCAAAAGAGTCAGTAGGGTAAGTATATGCAAAAAGGCTCTCCTAGCGTTGTCGCACAATATGTGTTGGCGGTGGGAGAGTCTGTTTTGTTATGAATGAGAGAAGATTCAATTTTTTCATTGTGTGATAGTGCAGTCTATTTTGTTTTCAACAGACAACAACTAATTTGTAATGAGATGTATTCACCCTATTTCGTTTAAGGTGATGAAGGACTGGTAGTAGAATTTCCCACAAGGAGATGAGTTGAGCTGACGTTTACATTGAATTTCACATAGCCTTGCTTTCCCAAAAGTTGTTCTCATCCAGGG